GGGTCATAAATGACCCAACCGGCATTAGCATAGTCACAAATAAGGAGTTATCACGAAAACCGATTTAGCTAGATACCTTATTGTGTATACTGTATATAGGTCTCAGCCAAACAATATTAACCCGCGCCCCGTAGGGCTACCGGCGGACCCTACCACCCGTAGGGGGGGGGGGGGCCGTTTCGCCCCCCCCTAAGATCTCGGAAAGTTACCGGCCGATTTTCAAAATTCAAACGGCGTTCGATAGCCCCACCCGGGAACTACCTTGTGACCAAATTTCATTGGCCTAGGTCAAACCGATGACGTCACAGGTCAGGTCAAAGGTCAGATTTTCACCGTTCACAGGCAATTCAAGAAATGTGCTGTGAAAGCGAGTAAATTGGTAATTTATTGAAAACCATCGATGGTACATTGTTCGTCAAACACATACTTTGCTATCTGAGGTCACTGATACCAGGTCAGGTCACAGCGAGGTCAGGTCACCGGGGGTCACAATATGAATGTGTCATGTGATACATGTTTTATGGTTCATTTTACATGACAAATGCGATTATGTGGGTTAGGCAGCCTTTGGGGCCAGCCTAGGTCACGTTTTGGTGAAGGTCAGGTCAAGGTCAGGTCAAATTAGGTCAAATTTCAAAGTTGATATTTTTGCATAAAATGGGCATCGATTCGATGCAGCTTGTCACGGGGAGTCTAATGGTGGTCTTTGTTTTGCTATACGAGTTCTAGAATTGCCAAAAATGGAGTTTGAAAATTTGACGTCAACATTTTTGAACAGTTTTTTTCGCTATAACTTGGAAAAAACGAGGTATCGATATGAAATTTGGTATGTAGATAGAAGACGGTAGGCACTATCACATATATTCCGGTTTTTTCGAAACTCAAAAAACTTTTTGGATTTTTTGGCGAATATATCCAAAAAAATGCTTTTTTGATTTTTGGGGGCAAAAACTCAAAAAATTCAAAAATTCGAGATAGCAGTTTTGTAGCCCTGTCAATTCTACACCTTTTATGTCTTGATCATTTTTCTGTATCTTCAAAGCTGTAGTCCTGACAGGTCTTCTCGCGAAGGTCTTTTTTCGGTCGAAAATGACAGAACATGACGTCACTATGACGTCTGTTAGCACCGGCGGCTGCAGGCCGGGCCGCCCGGGACCACCGAGCGGGCCATGCGGCGACCGGCCGACCACGTGGCGCTCGGGGCTATGCCGGCACTGAGCTGGCTCATTGTAAGCGGCCCCGTGATTGGCTGTGTGGGCTCCTGCCCTCGGGGCGCCGGCGAGGTGACCTCGGGTCGGCGCACGGGGCTCGAGGGGAGTTCGGTCTTGATGCTCGGCGCGGAAGTACTTGTGCGTTGGATGTGTGGTGCGCTGGCTGTGGTGTGGTGGTGGTGCACAATACAGCAAGTGAAAATATCTTAACTGGTGTGGAGAGGAGCTGGACCAGTGGAAAAGGGGACGGGACAGTGAACAGCAGCGAGTCTTCTCAGCGTGCGAGTAGCCGATCATTTCCTTTCATCCGGGACTCATAACACGGCCTCTTCCGGGGTGTGTGAGGGAGGCGGCCACAGTGTCTCGCCATCGAGTCACTGAGCTTAAACTCGTTCCCCGGGTCTTGCCATCGAGGCTCGGGTGCGGGGTCTCCGCTCAGACAGGGGTGCGACCAGTCGGCTCCGGCTAACCTTGCCATCGAGGCGCCGGAGTATCGGTTGATCTGTCCAATTACAGTGGTCTCGCCATCGAGAGGCTGGAATCGGGCAGCGGCTGGCGTCTTCCTCACCATCCTGATCTACCCATCGCTCTCCTACAGTCCTTGTCTATCATCCGGCTAAATAAGTGTCGTTGGCGTGTGAAATACCAGAGGACACGTGGCGACAACGTCATTTGTGGCCAACCTATCATAGCCTCTGAAAAATTTTGGTCACAATGTGTAAAATTGATGCCCGGAGGGGTCCTGAAAGTTTGGTGGCGATATCTCTAGCCGTTTAGGAGATATCGACCGAAAAGGACAGGGGGGGGGGGGGCCGTTTCGGCCCCTTGCGGGGCGCGGGTTAAGAGGCACTGCATTGCAATGCCTTGCAACGTCTCATTGGCGAGGTCGTTGGTGCCGCTGGCAGGCCTGTGGTGCCCCTGTTAGGCCTCTGGTGCTCCTGAGGGGACACCATAGGCCTGACAGGCCTGTGGTGTCCCTGGAAGAACTGTGGTGCCCCTGGGCCCTGACAAGCCTGAGGTGCCCCTGACAGGCTTGTGGAGCCCCTGACAGGCCTGTGGTGCCATTGCTAGGTCTGTGGTGCCCCTGACAGACCTGTAGTGCCCCTGGCGGGCCTGTGGTGCTCCTGCTAGGCTGCTGGTGCCCCTGGGTCCTGGCAGGACTGTGGTGCCCGTGACAACCTGAAGTGCTCCCGACAGGCCCGTGGAGCCCTTTACAAGCCCAAGGTGCACGTGCGAGACTGGTGGTGCCCCTGTGAGGTCGATGGTGCCCCTGGCAGGCCTCTGGCTGGTGCCCCTGGCAGGTCTGTGGTGCCCCCTGCCAGACCTGTGGTGCTCTTGCTAGGCCGATGGTGCTCCTGCAGGCCCGCGGTGCCCCTAACAAGCCTGTGGTACCCCTGACAGGCCCGTGGTGCCCCTCGGCCGGCCGAGTCGCCGGCCCGCCCCGCGTCATGGCCCCGGACAACCGGTCCGCTCATGATATCCCAACATCGCAACACTAGGCCTGTGGTGCCCCTGTCAGGCCTGTGGTGCCCCTGATAGGTGGGTGGTGCCACCGGGTCCCAAGGGAGGTCATGAGTGACCCATATGACCCCCCTCCTTTGGATCTGCCGCTGTGATCTGATCACAGCCCCCAAAAATAAATAATCGTATAATCATCAATTGCTCCCCTTGTATTCAACATACGGGAAAATTGACAACACTATTGCCGGCTGGGCCATTCATGACCCAAGGATATTTATCGAGGAAAAAAGTTATCCGATGGCGACAAGAAGGGCAAAAATATACATCATGCCTTTTTCAGGCAAATTTAGAAGCCAGGTGGACGATCATTCAACAGATAGTAAAGTGCAAACATAATATACTGTTTCTTTTGGGGGGCGGCGCGCCATTGCCAGTGACCCGCGACTGTGCAGTCCCGTCGTCTTTGGCTCCAGAAACTTCAGTGGACGAGCTCACACGAGCTGTATGCGGCTCCGACGCTCGTCACTGAACCCACAAATCCAACAAAACACACGCACAAGTTCCTCAGAGTGCCACTTGCCTCCATTGAAAAAAAACATTAAGATGTTGCTTTCGGGTCATATATGACCTAAGCGGCATTAATAGGTTAAATTGATGCAGCCAAAATACTGAAAGCTAAGCGTCGATACGTCAAGCAGTTTAGAAGTTATTGCAGAAAACGAGAGGGCGGCTATGAATAGCCCCCGCCCGTGGGGCGCGGGTTAAAAGAGCTAGGCATCGAATGCGCTTTTCTGCGACTCTGTAGCTCTATTCCTTCCAGACTTGAAGATTCGGCTTGAATGAAAGGTCAGGTCTTGCCAGCTTTTAGCTTTCTATGGCTAGCGAGTTCTTGACAATCACGAAAAAAAAAACATGGGGGCGACGTCCACCCTCTCGGCCGGGAGGTTTATCTCGGAAACAAGGGTTAACCCTCGCCGGCCGAGAGGGGGTGCCGCCTCCCCTGTAGGTTTTTTTCGCGATAGCTCCAAACACACTGGCGATAGAGAGTTGAACCTTAGCATACCTGACCGTTGACTTAAGCCAAATCTTTTGACACCAGCCGCATTTTCGGATCAGGTCAGGTCACTGACCTATGACGTCATGTGAACCTCTGCACGGTCTTCAGATGTCGCCACTTCGCAACGCCCTCACTGCCAGAGGAGCTTTCACAGGGAAATGAAACTTGCAGGATCTACATATATAGTATCCATTACGAGTCTCACAACTTGTACATCTCGGATTTTTCCTAAAGGTCATATGAGGTCAGGTCATTTTTGTGACCTCACCATTATAAGTCAATGGGGAAAAATGAAAACTGCTATTCTGGCGCCGGGAACGATCTCCAACTATCTCAAGCACACAGAATCGTGATTTGATGCACTCCTTGCAAGGTTAGATGCGTCACTTTTGCAATGTTGACCTTGCGGTCATCAGGGTCATATTAGTTTTTCGTCAATAACTCCCGATCAAATTGAGCTAGCGAGTCGAGAAAGCCACCAATGGACTCAGGAAGACTTGCCAAATCGAATGATATGCAAAATGACCTCTTTTGACCAACTCCGTGACCTGGGGGCGCTGACCTGACCGTGACCTGAGGTCAACACCCTTAGTTGACCTGACCCATACAAAAAGTATATCATTCGACGCGCCTGAGCAAGGCAAACACGATGCTGCCAAAATCGTGGCTCTGCGGCAGTTTTTTGCGAAGTTATTCACCAAAAACTGAACCGTACCTTGGGGCACTTGACCTGCCCTCAGAAGTTACCGGTTGACCTAGAACCTTAAAATCGAGTACCAATCACTGCGTCTCGTAACGGCGCACACGCTCGTTTTTTCCGCGACGCGCTAGCTCCACCAGGGGCGAAACAGCGAGGGGGGTCGTACCCGCCCCCCCTCGGCCGGCGCGTATGTAGAATACCAATAGGTCCGGCGAGGGTTAAAACTACTATTGAATGCTATCCAAAAGGCTATCGAGAGATAAATGAGCCATTAGCGACCTGTAAAGTCAGCGTCTGCTTTCGTAACTTTGGCGCGAGAGGTGACCGGACGGCGTGCGCAGCTGCAACGTGGCAGTGCACGGCGGTGCAGAGGTGGTGCGCAGGACCGAGTGTGTGGGGAGAGCAGCGACAGGACACGGGCGCCGCTCCCGAGTCGTGCGGCCGGAGCGCGACCGCTTCCGGGTGGCGACCACAGGATTCGGCGGCGTTTTCTATATTTCTGGCCGATATGGCCGTTATCGGAAGGACGGGGCAGAGGGTCCTGGTGAGGTATATAAGGCACCTGGTGGCGGTCGGTGCCAGGTCACTTTCCGTCCAGACGCCAGCCGTGCCGCCGGTGAGCCGCCGCTCTGCTCTGTCTTTTCGCCGCTCTGCCACGCCGGGCGCAGGCACCGCTATTTTTTCTGTAGCCGGGGGCGCACGGGCCTGCGTCTGGGTCGGCGGCGCGCCACTCGGCTCTCCACTCACACTCGGCTGTTGGTTTTGCAGACATGAGGAGCACCCTGTACATCGCCCTGGCCGTGTGCCTGGCCGGCTATGCCTTCACCGCGGAAGAGGAAGCAGGTGAGTTAAATGCTCTACATATTACCCAGTAATTTAATTGATTTTTATGTTTTCTGTCCATTTTGAAATATCTTTGTGCAGAAACTACATTTACGAAACTTCTATCAATAGTGCTGATTCATTTTGTTTTCTAAGCATAAATGCCAAGTTTTCTTATCTAAATATTCCAAGAGTCGTCACAATAAAGATGCAATATTCCCAGGAACGGTGCCGTACAAACTTTAAGCAATAGCCTGTAACAATAGACCTAGCTGTTCCTATGAGGTGGCTTTTCCAATAAAAGTTCAGTTTTATTACGAGCCATTGTCTTTTAAATATGTTTGTCCCGATGCCCTTTTCTCACATACGACATCTTACAGACTCGGCGAAAGAGCGCTTCGTCGCCCTGTACAGAACCGCTACATTCATTTCCGTGTCTACCAGCACACTGAGCACGCCGCTCATCTGCTACACATGTAAGTCGAACAACACTACACGTACAACAGACCCGACGCCCTCCCAGTAACCCTCTCCCGACTCCGTCCATCAGCCAGACCGCCCACGGGCGACCGCCTCCCAACTTTCCGGGTCACATCTGAGTGCCTTTCAGCCGTCAGCTCCTCGGCCCGAGACAAGGCTCTGGCCAGAGGATTCCTAGGCGTGTGGAGGACCAGGACGGTTCTGAGCGTTTCCGTCACTACTTCCACGTCGTTCTTCACGTGCTCCACTGGAAGTAAGTAGAAACGCTTCAGCTCTGCAAGCTCTGCATGAGCAGCTGGGCTTATTTCGGAAGCGGAAGCATTGGCAAATCAACAGAGGAAGGTGACAGACAACATTGTACAAGAAACAAGACTGTCGAATTTAATTGCATGCTCTGTGCCGGTGAACATACACATCGCATAATAAATCACACTACCCTCCCTCTCTCCCCCTCTCCTCCTTCTCCCTCTCCCTCTCTCTCTCTCCCTCTCTCTCTCTCTCTCTCTCTCACTTCCCCTCCCTGTATCTCTTTGTCTCTCTTTCTCTTTATTCCACTCTACCTCTCTCCTCTCTCTCAATCCCCTCTCTCTTTTCTATTTCTTTCTTGCTCACTTATTCTCACATGCCTTGTATCTATGTACTTAGCAGCCATCCTTGCTTTATTTTTGCGATATGTCCTTGTATGTACAATTACACGTAGAACATTTGCAAGTGTATCATGCTGTTGCACGATGATATACCTACACCAGGCAGTTCAGCTGGGGTTTTCTATATCGACTGTACACCACATTCTACAGCAAACTTGAAAGAAACCATCAATTTGCATGGCCGATTCATCATACATATGTACAGTAGCTCACTATCCCTCGAAACTACACGATACTGCTGCCTGCTGCTGTTTTTTCCCGCATAAACACATTCAAACAACACATTCGTTTTACACGCTTAGTCTGGCCTATAGCTTGAGCTTCATTGATGCATGTCCGCTGCATGCTATGTTTGTGTCTTCTTGAAACCAGGGGCTCGTTCGTAATGACAGTAGTGCTGGCATATGATGTTTGCGATTTTTTCGACCCTGTCTGGGAGCATAGCTGCCGCAGGTAAAAGATCCAACAGGGCGATCAGTTCATAGGGCGAGACCCGCCTAGAGTTCCATGATGACGGCAATGCTCTGCGAGCCACTGATTTGACTGGCCTGTTCGGGGCCTCGCCGAACCATCTATGGCCTGTGCAGCCGTTCTCTGACAGCGTCCCGTTCTGTTGGCCAGCCGCCACCGCTCCCTGCGTCAGAAGGCGGCGCAGGAAGGCGCTGCCAGTCCAGCTGGCCAGGTAAGGGGTAGCTGCCGACGCAGGTGCCGGGGCCACCTGTTCGCCGCAGGCCGAGGGGTGCACTGAATGGATGATCTCGGTGGAGAAGTGCTTGTTCAGCCATATTTCAACATATCGCTTAGGTCCAATAGATATTTTATTTTAGTGTACATTGTAAAGAAAATGTTCTCGTCATTTTGTCGCTTCTCATTTAGCTGAATATTGCTGACGTAGCTTATCATGAAATGGACAATGTGATATCATGCAAGGCATTTGTTGCAGTGGAATTCGTTGAACATGGCTGGTCGCTCGACTCCTTCTATCCTGAATTTCCTTTGCTATTACCGCTCACTGGCCCGATCTCCCGCAATACTATGCTGCCGAGCTTTCAGCTTTTTATTGTTCTCAGCGATGCTTTGCAAGCTTGCCGCTAGCTCGCTACGTAATAAGCTGTAGTTTTTTTTGTTTTCTTTGATTTAAGAAAATGACCATGCATTTTGCTTTTTTAAACAAATTGACAGAGATGTGTACTCTGCAATGAGTTATGTAACAGTGTAAAGTAGAAAGCATGCATGCAACGCTATTTCCCAAAATATATTATTGCGCCTGCTTTGCCCTCCGCTATGCTGCTGCTTTCGCAAGAGCAATAGTGCGTCGGAGAATCGGCTCCTGCGACTTGCTGACCGCTTTTCCTGCCTTTAGCCATAGCCACGGCCGCCTGCGGTGGCCGCCGCCGCAGGAGGAAGTCGGTTGAGCTGCTCGAGAAGGTGGACACCGCGTAAGTAGTGCTGCGCTGCTTGCTCCCACTGCCTTGTCCTGTCCACCAGTGGTCCGTCCACCCTGCTCCGGTCCCTCGACTGAGCGCGGCCGCAGCGTCCACTGACCGGCCGCCTCCGACCTCCGGCAGCCCCCAGGCCGAGCAGCAGGCCGTCGCCCTGCAGTCGTCGTCGCGCGCCATCGACGCCGTCGGCGCCGACGATGATCTGAGCGCCCGCGACGCGCGCCTGCTCCTGACCATCACCACGTCCACCACGTCCACCATCACCCTCACCAGCACGTCCATCAACAACGCCATCATCGTCAGCGTCTCCGTGCTCTGCACCGGCGGGCCGGCTCTGTTCCCGGCCTGCGGCTAGCGAGGCTCCCGCTCCCGACTTCCACCTCCTTTACATTGCCAACGGACATGCCTATCGCAAGCTGACAGACACAGATCGGCAACAGCTTGCTTTCGAAAACATCATTATGAAGGCATTGTGGGATAGACGCTTCTTAATTTCATTGTATGAAAGTTGAGTTCGACAACAATGCTAACCAACAATGTCAATTTACGCTGATGCGTCGTTAAATCATATGAAAGGTAATGTTCCAATGCAAGCTGCTGCCGATCTCTGGAAGCCGACGGAGAAACTAGTTGATTTTGCCTTTCATGCTATTCTGCTTTTGAATACACCAGTTTTAACGTTATATACCAGACAAATAATAAATATTCATAAAACGTTGATAATGCATGCCTGCGAGTCTCCAAAGATATTTACATGAGATACACCAGACATGCTTTTTCACAAGCCTGCTTGTAAATATCTGCATGCATTCAAGTGCTACCACACACGCTGCTGATCTGTGCATGCGCTCTGCAACACGACATGTACACTGCACGTGCCGGCTCTAGCCCCTTTGGCGCGCTGGCGCTGTCCAATACCGCAGGGAGCTGGAGAGCCAGGCGGCGCTGCTGCGCGGCTCCATGGCCGAGGACGTCGACCGGGCCGAGAGCAGCGAGCGAGACTCGCGGCTGGGCTTCACCGTGTGGACCACGTCCACCAGCACGCTCACCATCACCACCACGTCCTTCAACTCGGCCACCACCATCTCGGTGTCGTACGCGTGCACCATTCCCGGCTACAACTCGCTGCCGCTCTGCGGCTAGTCGCCGCCCGTCCCGGCCGCGAGGCGGCCACACTTCGACTTCGATCCCGGCTTCGACGTTGTCCTCGGCATCTGCTTGGCAAAAACGGAATCTGAATGCATTGCCTCACTTGTTGATTTTGTTGTTAACTTGTTGTGAATATCGGTGCTGTAATATATATATCAAATGCGTGAACAAGAGAAAAGTGGTTTGTAAGCGACGTGGTTCAACGGAATGAACGAGAACAGATAAGTCTTAGACTGACATTTTGCAATATCGACAGAGGGTTGACCCTGCGGACAGTACAATAAAGAAATACCTACCATAAACACAGCGTCACGTAGTTAGGTACTACGCAGTTACGACACATAATTTGCTCGCTGTATAGACAATTACTAGTAAATTACTTTTTGTCGTTATTTAAGCACACGATATATGCAATATGCATGCAAGATTGCACCACATACATAAATACAATATATACATGCAAATAAGGTTTAAGTACATAAATGGCAATGCATTATTGTTGGGTGCATGGCCAAGTCTAGACGGTGACTGCAGAGAGCTGGTTCCAACCTTTTCGTTCTGAGAATAATTTCAATCTACATAATTGCACATGAGTGCCTGCTGTTATTTATCTAATTGGTCACGAAAATAATTTGATTTATTTTGGCCTGAGATAATTTGAGGCAAAATGCATACCATATCTCTCCTGAATTACACATCACTTATTTTCTGCAGGCCGGGCTGTTTTTTTTTTATTTGAGCGAACAGGGGACACATCCCTAGCGAATGGCTCGACAATTTGTGAAGGCGGAAAATGCGGAATGCGGATCTCTAGGTCCTGCACAACTTTTGTGTCTAAATGCAGATCGATGTATGACGATTTTGACTAGGCCAAAGTTAACCCGGCAGGCGGTGGGCCTCCCGGCCACCTTCCGCGCGGTGGGGGGGGGGCATTTTTTTGCCCCCCCCCGTATCTCCGAAACTAGTGGACGAATCCGTAAAATTCAAACGGTGTTCGATAGCCCTGTCAAATTTGCCGAAGAAAACTAAATTTTATTGACCTCGGGGTCACCGATGACGTCACAGGTCAGGTCAAAGATAAAATGTTTCAACCGTTCACGGGTCTTCTAGGGAATGCACTACAACACCGCGAACGCATTTTGTCGAAAATCAGCGATAGGGCGTCAGTTGTTTAATACATATGTTGCTATTAGAGGTCACTGGGGTCATACCATGTCAGGTCACAGGTCACAGTTGCCTAGTACATATGATGCTATTAGAGGTCAATGATAATACCAGGTCAGGTTACAGGTCAGATCACCAAAGATCAGCACATGAACCCAACTTTACTAAGGTTGTGCGATGCATGTTTTATGGCCAATTTTTCATTTCCAACTCAATGGTATTGGTTATAAGACCATCAGGTACGGTTTAAGTCACTTTCTGGTGGAGGTCAGGTCAAGGTCAGGTAAAAAGGTCAAATTTCAAAGTTGCTAGTTTTGCATAAAATGGCTATTGATTCGATGCAGCTCGTCACAGGGAGTCTAATGGTGGTCTTGTTTTTCCCTACGAGGTCTAGAATTGCTAAAAAGATAGAGTTTGAGAATTTGACGTCATCAATTTTGAGCAGTTTTTTCGCTTTAACTTAGCCAAAAAAAAGAGGTATCGATCTCAAATTTGGTATGTGGATAGAAGGCGGTAAGAAATATCACATATATTCTGTTTTTTTTCGAAATTCAAAGAACTTTTTTGATTTTTCGGCTTTTATATTAAAAAATCTATTTTTTATTTTTGGGAGTCAGAATCCAAATTTTTAAAAATCCGAGATAACAGTTTTGTAGCCCTGTCAATTATACAGCTTTTATGTCTTTATCATTTTTCTGTATTTGCAAAGCTATAGGCCTGACAGCTCTTCCCGCGAAACCCTTTTTTGGGTCGAAAACGGCAGAACATGACGTCACTCTGACGTCATTTTCGGCCAACCTATCATAGCCTTTGGAAAATTTTAGTCACAATGTGTAAAATTGATGTCCGGGAGAGTACTGAAAGTTTGGTGACGATTGGCGCAGTGGTTCTGGAGATTATTGAAAAAACTAAAGGGGGGGGGGAAATGCCCCCCCAAACGCCTGGAAGGTTGCTGGTTTGCGCTAATGCATAGTTGGTTGCATACTCTCGTCAGGCCAAAACCCTTTTTTATAACCCGTACGGGGGAGGGCTGGTACCTAGTCCCCGACTTCTGCGGCACTTAAAAACATCATTTTCTTCGGGTAGCGACCTACAATAAATTTTTACCCTTATGCAAAGTTGTTGAATCTAGGTTAATATTTATTGTTGTTTTTTTTTGGGGGGGGGGGGGAGTTTATGTGTAAATCATTTCGCCAGAACTCGTTAACAGTTTTTGGTCTTTAACTTTCGTTCTAGTTAAGATAAAACAAATTCAAAAGCACTAGAGAGCACAGAATCAACGCGTATTAAATGGTATGCCATTTTACCAGTTTATCAAATTTTCGAAGTTCACTTAAAGGGACCCTCCCACCTGAAGATTAGATTTGAGTTGAGATAGCCAAAATGGGGTATCTGGCTCACAATTACCGGTTTCGGCACTCACAACATCGAGAAATGCCTTAACTCGAAAATATTGAACTTCAAAATTGCAGCATTTTGATTCAGAGGGCTAATGCAAAGGAATACCCCTCTGAATGTGTGACGTCAGCGCAGATATCTAACGATTTTTAAATGTTTGACTAAAACGTTTTGTAACACGCGGTGGTATATGCTGCTTTGCGCGCAACAAATGCCGCACTTTCAAATAAAGTCGCTATAGGAACAGCGGAGATCCCAAAAAGTAAACAAAAGTAAGAGTCTAATATCTTGAAAACCGGTGAATATTTTTCGATGAAATTTGGTAGATATTCGTTTTTGCTCTTTCTGAACCGAGCGACATCACTTTCATGCCAATTCATTAACTTTTTTTGAAGGCGGGAGGGTCCCTTTAAGTTCAGCTAACGAATTCTTAATTTCACCTGAATGCTTCATGTTGCGTATGTATCATTCAATGCGGCTGATCAAGGGGAACACAATTATACCATTTTTGAAGCTCTACCTATACCGTGTGTCAAGTTATAAAAAACGCCGAGTTTGACGCTCTTTGACCTCACTTGACCCTACCATTGCGTTTTTCATCAAAAAGTACAAACTTGATTAAGTTTTGGCATAAACGGAGACATTACAACACAAAACGCTGAAATGAAGCAGATGTCTCCGATACTGTCACTATTAACCCTATTCCTGGCGGGGGGGGGGCCTCAGGAGTCAGGAGCCCCCCTGAGGTTTTTTGGTTATTTTTCCCAAATGCGTTGAGCTAAGAAGCTCAAATTTTCTGACTTTTCCTAAAAGGCTTCTACGCAACATGTCTGAAAATTTTGAGTTGATCTGACCTCAGGTCAGGTCACCAGAGGCGGTTTGGTGACCCTACCTCAGAAAAGTTTGCAATCACGCCAGAGCTAGAGTTTTTGACCGATCAATTTCTTCTCTTCAGGCTTTAGTTAGGGTACCAGTATTTGCAATTTGTATATCTCGGAATTTTGATATCGGTGACCTAAGGTCAGGTCAGTTTCGCGACCTCCCCATTATAAGTCAATGGGGGAAAAATCAACTCCCTGTTTTTACCACTAAAACGGGTCGGAATGGCCCCATATACCATACATGACTTCATATACGATCAACCTTCACTACCTTGAGGTCTGTTTTGCTGTTGGGCAGCTGTGAGGTCATGTGACGTCATCAAAGGTCACCAAAGGGTTTTTGCCAATAACTCCGTACAGGAACAAGATACAGCTGCGCGGATGGTCTCATTGTGTTCTGCTCGTCAAGACGCATCGAATGATATACATGATGACCTCGAGGTCACGTGACCTGAGGTCAACCTTTGACCTTGACCTTTCGAGGTCAACATATACATCATTCGATGCGGATTGACGAGAGGATCACGATGATGCCCTTAGTTTGTTCCTATCTTGACTAATTCGAAAGTTATTCGAGAAAAACTCTCTTCATATCTAGCGTCGCCATTTTGACTTTTTCGACCCCTGTGACGTCATCTTTGACCTGACCTGAAAATGACCTTAGTAAAAATTGTAGATCTTGACCGTGCGTATCCGATGCCGTTTACCGTTTGTCGCTGCGATGTGTAGTTTTTGAGATCTGAAGGGGGGGGGGCCGAATCGGCCCCCCCCGCCAGTTTCTTGTCCCGGCGGAGCCCGCCAGGAATAGGGTTAAAGCTATTAGAAAACAATTTCCCTTCCTTTAGCATCATGATTATCTTTGGTCAACGAAATGTAAAATACGGAGTCCATATCGTGAATCTCGATGAGCGCACATCACGAAAGTTTGAGTGCCGTCGATGCAAACTCTGGATTTTATAGCAGTATAAGTATAAATTCAGTATTATTTTGACGATGTCCCGTTATTCGTGACCTAGTTATTACCCTGAACTGAGATCATTGGAACTCAAAATTATCAAGACAAAAGCAAAATAAATTCTCAAAAAATGTCCCAAGTTTAGTGGCTCTGCGTGCTGCCGTTTTTGCGCTATCTGCTAAAACTTAGCCCGCGCACCACGGGGGGGGGGGGCTAAATACCCCCTACAGTTTTTCTGCAATAACTTCCAAACCGCCAGACGTATCGACGCCAAACTTTCAGTACCTTCGGCTGCATCAATTTGACGCCTTTTGTTATAATATGAACTTCGTAGCTACCATAGGTCGGCCGGAAATGACGTCAGTGACGTCATGTTCGGCCGATTTCGACGCAAAACATTGAACCACGGCAATCGCTCTCAAGAACTCAGCTTTAAAGGGACCCTCCCACCTTCAAAAAAGTTAATGAATCGGCACGAAAGTGATGTCGCTCGGTTCAGAAAGGGCGAAAACGAATATCTACCAAATTTCATCGAAAAATATTCACCGGTTTTCAAGATATTAGACTTTTACTTTTGTTTACTTTTTGGGATCTCCGCTGTTCCTAGCGACTTTATTTGAAAGTGCGGCATTTGTTGCGCGCAAAGCAGCATATACCACCGCGTGCTACCAAACGTTTTAGTAAAAGATTTAAAAAATCGTTAGATCTCCGCTGACGTCACAAATTCTAAGGGGGCATGCCAATGCACTAGCCCCTTAGAATCCGAAAACTGCAAGTTTGAAATTCCATATCTCCGAATTAAAGCATTTGTCGATGTTGTGAGTGCCCAAACCGGTATTTGCAGGCCATGGCCACCAATTTGGCTATCTCAACTCAATACTAATGTTAAGGTGGGAGTGTCCCTTTAAGCTAGATCCAATTTCTTTGCATGAGAGGACTCAAAGTAGACTGCGCTATCAAACTACTATCCCGGATTTTCAAAACTTTGAAAATTTGGAATTTTATGTTTAATAAAATGAAATATTTGTATTTTTATCTTTAAAAAAATTGATTTTTCAAAAAACCAGAATGTATGTGATAGAACACATGCCTATGACTTACTCTAGCAAGTTTTAGCCAAATATCTTCAAAAAATAGCCAAGGTATACGCATCATAGCAAAAAAATTCACAGTTATAAATTTTTGAAATCAAATTTTCAGTAGGTATTCACATCTTATACCAATATAAATAGCACGATCGTGTTTCTGAGCTCAAACTGCATCCGATAGACACCTTTTTTATTGAAAAAATTTAACTTTAAAATTTGACCTTTTTACCTGAAAGTGGCCTGACCTAAGCGAGACACAGGATAGTTGACTAATGCAGGAATAAAGTTTTTGCTGGTTAACCCGCGACCCGATGGGCTATCGGCGGACCCTAACACCCGTAGGGGGGGGGGCGTTTCGGCTCCCCAAGATCTCGGAAATTTACCGGCCGATTTTCAAAACCCAAACGGTGTTCGATAGCGCCACCGGGGAAATACCTTGTGACCAAATTTCATTGACCTAGGTCAAACCGATGACGTCACAGGTCAGGTCAAAGGTCGGATTTCAAGGCATTTCAAGAAATGTGTTGTGAAATCGAGTAAATTGGTAAGTTATTGAAAACCATCGATGGTACATTGTTCGTCAAACAACACATACTTTGCTATCTGAGGTCACTGATACCAGGTCAGGTCACAGAGGTCAGGTCACTGGGGGTCACAATATGAAAGTGTCGTGTGATACATGTTTTATGGTCCATTTTACATGACAAATGGAATTATGTGGGTTAGGCAGCCTTTGGGGCCAGCTTAGGTTACGTTTTGGTGAAGGTCAGGTCAATGTCAGGTCAAATTATGTCAAATTTCAAAGTTGATATTTTTGCATAAAATGGGTATTGATTCGATGCAGCTCGTCACCGGGAGTCTAATGGTGGTCTTTGTTTTGTCCTACGTGGTCTAGAATTGCCAAAAATTGAGTTTGAAAATTTTACGTCATCATTTTTGAACAGTTTTTTTGCTATAACTTGACCAAAAAACGAGATATCGATCTGAAATTTGGTATGTATATAGAAGACGATTGGTACTATCACGTTTATTCCGTTTTTTCGAAACTCAAAAAACTTCCTGTTTTTTTTTTCGGCTAATATTAAAAAGATTTTTTTATTTTTTGGGGTCAAAACTCATAAATTTTTAAAATCCGAGATAGTTGTTAAGTAGCCCTATTAATTCTACACTTTTATGTCTGATCATTTTTCTGTATCTTCAAAGCTGTAGGCCAGACAGCTCTCCTCGCGAAGGTCTTTTTTCGGTCGAAAATGGCAGAACATGGCAGAACCTCCCACCCGAAAAAACGTCTTCCAGCTCTGTTATTACATAGTGGGGCAAAACGCATTACAATTGGCAGAAGTTTGTGCGATAACCACTGAATGCAGGAATGACAACACTTGAATAAACTTCCAAACGGTTATGACATTATGTAACATTCAAAAAGCGTAAGAATATTCGGATAAAAATAATAAACAGGGAAAATGTGCCTTTTCGTCTGTCACGGAAAAATGGCGACGGATCGGAAACTCCGGTCTGGCTCGTTCGAAGGATCGCGAGGATAAGTATAATTGACAACCATCAACTGGAGCTGACGTCGGATGTGCTGGGTTAAAACGAAGCTTAGCCGCTTTGCCCCGGGTGGCCACTTTGCCCCAGTCTCCCCTAAGTAAACTTTATTATCTGTTCGGTCAAGGTCAGGTTATCAGGGGTCATCAAATTACACATTTTCACGAGATGGTTTATTTTGGTGTGTGTGTGTGAATTTACACTTACCTAACACCAACTGCATTTTAAGTCAGATCACATCACTGACATATGACATCATAAGTAGAGATACCAATCGTATTCCGACTTTTGGTATACCGCTAGCAAACCGATACCAACTTGGTATTTGGTAGTCAGCTGTTTTCACGACGGCCATCTGGTACACATTTGCACATCAGGTGCAGATTTGGTCAAATTAGGTTCAGTGTATCTCTTAGTAGCTATGAGCTAGGGCTGCACTCATTGCTTATATCCCTGCCTTGTCATATTATCAGAGAGTATCATCGATTAAAACACTGAAATAAATTCATAAAATAAAGATATTTGCTGTAAAAGAGATTAGGTGCAGATTTGGTCAAATTAGGTGCACTCGCCGGATAACCCGTCGTGAAAACGGCTAGTCCCACTGTTTTTGGTATTTGGCGGTACGAGTATTATGAATCCTCTGTTATGTATAAGAGACTGTGAATTTGGTAAAAGTGGGTATTTTCCTGGTATTCCCAAGTTGGTTTGGCTTCGGTATTTTCCCATTGTTTTTGTTGGTATTTGGTTTAGAATCGGTATCCTGATTTTCCGTAATCGACATCATTAATCATAAGTGAGCCCCTGCACGGTCCTAGAATGTTACAACCTCGCAAATGGCCCCTTATAGTGCCAAAAAAACCTTTTGCAGTGTGTGGATCAAGCCCCCAATGGGCTTCATTATGACTTCATCCGACCGATTGCATGGTGTAAGTGACTTTGACTTGACGTTGATCCGAGGTCAACATCCTATGTTGATCTCAACTAAACACAAAGCATATCATTCAACGGGCCTGACCATGAAAAATGCGATGGTGCCTAAAATCTTAGCACGATCTGTGGCCACTTTTAGCGAGCTAATTTACCCCCCTCCCTCCTAAAAAACGAGCATTTGAGTACCTACTTGACATTACCTGAGAGGTCACGGGTTGACCTGAGACGTTGACGAGACCTTACTATTGGGTATCAGTCGCTGCTTCTCGTAACGGCGCACACGCTCGAGGCTTTAGCTCAATTAGGGGCGAAACGGCGAGGGAAAGGGGGGATTTTTGCTCTGTTCGGCCGAGGCGTATGTAGAAAACAGATAGGTGCAGCTAGGGCTGACAAGATGTGTGGAATAGTTTGTTAACCCGCGCACTGACGGGGGCGCGTAGTGACTAGTAACGGTGCAAAATCGGTTATAACTGAAAAGGATTTCGAGGAAACCAGAGAGAGTTTTACATCTTAGGTATAGTTAGGTTGATTTGGGAAATGCTACAGAAAGTTTCATTGCCGTCAAATTATTCGTTCTTGAATTATCGTGAATAGCTGATGGTAAGGGACATTCAGATGCGCTTTCTCAGTGAATGGTGGGTTAACACGCGCACCGACGGGGGTCTGCGCCAACTTCGTACCGACGGGGGGGGGGGGGCGGATGACCGCCCCCCCCCCTGAGATCTCGAGAACGAAGCAAGATAGCGACAAGCGGTAAACGGCATCGGATACGCACGGACAAGGTCTACAATTTTTACACAGGTCATTTTCAGGTCAGGTCAAAGATGACGTCACAGGGGTCGAAAAAGTCAAAATGGCGGCGCTAGATATGGAGAGAGTTTTTCTCGAATAACTTTTGAATTAGTCAAGATAGGAAAAAACTAAGGGCATCATCGTGATCCTCTCGTCAATCCGCATCGAATGATGTATATATATATATATATATATATATATATATATATATATATATATATATATATATATATATATATATATATATATATATATATATATATATATATATATGTAAATTTGTATATTTCGGTGCTTAGGTCAACCTTTGTTGGTCAAAGGTTGACCTAAGCACCGAAGAAGAAGCTTATCAATGAAAGAAGCGCGATTGTGTTCAATCAGACTTGCCTATTGAATGGATTGCTGCCTAACTATATATATATATATATATATATATATATATATATATATATATATATATATATATATATATATATATATATATATATATATATATATATATATATATATATGTATATATATGTTGACCTCGAAAGGTCAAGGTCAAAGGTTGACCTCAGGTCACGTGACCTCGAGGTCATCATGTATAGCATTCGATGCGTCTTGACGAGCTGAACACAATGAGACCATCCGCGCAGCTGTATCTTGTTCCTGTACGGAGTTATTGGCAAAAAACCTTTGGTGACCTTTGATGACGTCACATGACCTTACAGCTGCCCAACAGCAAAACAGACCTCAAGGTAGTGAAGGTTGATCGTATATGAAGTCATGTATGGTATATGGGGCCATTCCGACCCGTTTTAGTGGTAAAAACAGGGAGTTGATTTTCCCCCATTGACTTATAATGGGGAGGTCGCGAAATTGACCTGACCTTAGGTCACCGACATCAAAATTCCGAGATATACAAATTGTAGCTACTAATAAGCCAGTTATGGTTTTTGCCTCAGTCGCGAGCCCCTAACTCCACTTTACAGTTCTTGGCCCAGCCCATCCACAGCCCATCGATCCGTCATGTTTGAGGGCCCAGCCCAGCCCGTAGCCCAGCCCAGCCCATGGCCCATTGGGCTGGCCCGGCCCATGGCGAACACTGGCTTCTGGTAACCGGTATTTCAATCTACAACGATCGAACCACTGCCACGGCGCGGTGCTAGCACTTCCTTCATTAGCAACTCTATTTTTCCATGTGCACGTGATGCTGCTCATCTGTTATAGATAACCCCAGCGCAGCGTTTAGCATTGCCGGCACAAAAACACCCTCAACACCTCACCGTCGACCAACCAGCCGTCCTCGGGCCCCGACAAAAAGTGGTAACAAACAGCATATGAGGCTGCGTGCGGCCGGCGGCGGCGCAGAGGGCTGCTCGTGGGGCCCGCCCGCACCGCCTTCGCTCCTGATCATGCTGCCCAGCGCGCTGACGCTGGTGGCGGTGCTGTTGGCGGCCTGCTGTTGTCCGTCGTCCGGCGCGGCGCCGGCCGACCAGCAGACGGCCCTCTCAGGTGGGTCCGCCGGACACTGCACACTGCCGGCCGCCCATGGCGTCATCCGAGTCCCTCTGAAGGCATCCGAGCTAGGTCCATTATTCAGAAAATGCGTTTTGCTGCTCTTTATCATATTTCCTCATTCGTGATCATAGTTTCCCGATCCGGGACAATTCACCTAACTGACAACCTAACAAATCCAATGAAATCACATTCACCAGGAAGGACCTTTTGCGGAGCTGGAAGACTGTGTCCCCAATTGCAGTAAAACGAAATAGTGCTATCTTTTTTGAAAGTACCTATATGCTTCTCGTATCCAAATACTGCGACGAAACAAAACGAACCAAATTGTTCCTTCAGTGCAGGCGTTGTTTAACGCTGTATTCACAGGTAACATTCGGACTAGATACATCCTTCTCTGGTATTTAGTGTTGTGCCTTTTCGCAGCAACGTGTTTTGTTAACGTTTTTTGCTGTTGCTTTTCTGTGCAGATGCCGTTAGTTTAATCTTCTCGCTTTCCCGAGTCGTTTTTTCATTATTATATCCCTTTCATATTAAGCATTGATTTAACCCAAATGTATGAATCTTTCCAGATGCCGGCGATCCAGAGGCGCGCTCGTTCCTCATCTACCTATCGACGAGCACGTACAACACGCTTAGCTTCACTACCACCACGGCCTTCTACACTTGCGTCAGCGGTGAGGACCGAGGGACTACGGGGCGAGCTGGGCAGAGCACGGAGCGGCCCGAGAGAGAGAGAGAGAGGGAGAGAGAGAGAGAGGAGAGAGAGAGAGAGAGAGAGAGAGAGAGAGAGAGAGAGAGAGAGAGAGAGAGAGAGAGAGAGAGAGAGAGAGAGAGAGAGAGAGAGAGAGAGAGAGAGAGAGAGAGGAGAGAGAGAGAGGGAGCAGCGTGCAGGCTGGGCGGGCCGGCAGCCGCCGGGTCTGGCTAACTGCGCGGCCTCGCGACACCCGGGGCAGTCTTTGACCGGACGGTCATCCGTGACGGCTTGTAATTCGCGTGCAATTTGCATGCAATGATGCATTAAAAACTAAGTGTCATTGTTTACAATACCAGGAAGGTAATTCAGTGACCCATGTCGGTCGAGCAATGATGAAATTTTTTTGATTAGCATTTAGATTAAAAGCTTTTGACGCTTTTAATGATTACCAGGGATGTCATTGAAGTATGCTTGAAAAGATGTAATTTTATGGCATGTCGAAGGATTAGTGAAACATCGATTTCTTTCTTCAAACAGGCTTTTTCACCAAACAGGCAAACAAACTTTTCACCAATCACCTAACTTTTGATTTCATTTGGTACAAATGCATTGTTAAAAAGAAATAAAAACCAGCACAAAAACATGAAGTGGGAAGTCCTGCTAGACACAGAACATACCTGCACATACTTTGGCTTTGTCAGCGTCGACAAGGTACGATGTGGTATTAAAAATCACTTTTGAAATCCAAAATTTTGCTTGTCTTACCTGACCTTGAACTGACCTTTAGGTAGGTCAAGTTGTTACTAATGCTAAGGGACAAAATAAGTCTGTTATTACCCTCGCCCGCACATGGGGGGGGTGGTTGCCACCCCCCCAGGTAGTCTTTCTGCTCTGCACTCAACATTTTTAGGGCTAGAGGGCTGATTTTTCGTATAGCTGCTCGTCTATCCTTTCTTGATGTTCACTGAAAATTTCAAGTTTCTGTGATTTTTGGTTTCGGAGATATGACCTTGTTTTTCAGGTCATGCCATGACCCAAATGGCCAATTCTCAACATCTTGCGTTTGCTATGGGCCTTGTGAGCTTTTGACACCCTGATTTCGGCCTTTTTTGCCAGTCTTACCTCCCACCTATCATGGAACATGTTGTTCGACGATGTACAGATGTCAAGGTCAAGGTCAAGGTCAACCTAGGTCATCTAAGATAATTGCGTTTTAGGCAAGCTGAATTTACTTTTTGTGAAGTTTTTTGACTGCATTGTTGGTAAAAGCTTCTCAGATCATGATTTCATGTAATATGGACCCAAAAACAATCGGTGCACACACCAGTATACACACAGACACACACAGACATACAAACACATATAATTGACCTTGACCTAACTTGACCTGAAATGACCTCAGCAGCAAAATTCTGGTCGGGTAGTGTGACAAAGAGGTTCTAGCTGGCTTGGCACCAGAAAACAGCATCGTCATCGGTATTTGATAAGCAGCGCACTTGATATCCAACGGTGACCCAAAACAGCAACATTTTTTAGTTTGACCTGACCTGGAAGGTCAGTGACTGACCTGAGAAGGTAAAACTGGATATCATTGGATTCGTCTCTTCCCAAAGAATCTTTTTGGTCTTTACTGCTAAGCTCTATCTCCAACAGGAACGAAATGGCGCGGGGGGGGGTGGCAACCACCCCCCCCCATGTGCGTTCTAGGATGGGAAAATGGCATGTGCGGGCGAGGGTTAAATCTTACTTTCAACATATGTTAATCGACCTGGAAAACTTTGCATCAATGTGATATTCAGTGACAAGAGCTTTGGTTACCTTTTGATAGAACAATTTTAGGACGTTGATTTTATAAGTGTCGTCTTCTTTTTCGGCGAAATGCTCCGAATGAAATTCGATTTGTTTTGTTTTTATTCAAAAGAGATTTGGCTCCAAGTAGCTTTTCGACTTTGCACGTGTTTTAGCCAGCAAAAAGGGCAAAAACTGAACCGGGCAAATTGAACCGGCAAAAACTACGGTTTTTCGCGATATTTGCGAAAAACCGCAGGGGGGTGGTGGTGTTCAAACACCCTCCCCCCGGCCCGGCGCGGGTTAACCCTCACCGGCCGAGGGGGGGGGGGCGGCACATGGTTTTTTTCGCGAATGCTCCAAACCCTCTGATGATAGAGACCTAAAACTTGGCATACCTGACCTTTGATTGAAGTCAGATCTTTTGAAACCAACCGTATTTTCGGGTCAGGTCAGGTCACTGACCTATGACGTCATAAGTGAACCTCTGCACGGTCTTCAGATGTCGCAACTTCGCAACGCCCTCACTGCCAGAGGAGCTTTCACAGGGAAATGAAACTTGCAGGATCTAGTATCCATTACGAGTCTCACAACTTGTATATCTCGGATTTTCCCTTAAGGTCATATGAGGTCAGGTAATTTTCGTGACCTCACCATTATAAGTCAATGGGAAAATGAAAACTGTTATTCTAGCGTCGGGAACGATCTCCAACATCTCAAGCACACAGAATCGTGATTTGATGCACTCCTTGCAAGGTTAGATGCGTCACTTTTGCAATGTTGACCTTGCATGACGTTATTTATGACGTCATAAAGATCATATTAGTTTTTCGTCAATAACTCCCGACCAAATTGAGCTAGCGAGTCGGGAAAGTCACCACTGGACTCAAGAAGACCTGCCGAATCGAATGATATGCAACATGACTGCTTTCGACCAGCTTCGTGACCTGGGGGCGCTTACCTGACCGTGACCTGAGGTCAACACCCTAAGTTGACCCGACCCAAACAAAAAGTATATCATTTGACGCGCCTGAGCGAGGCGAACACGATGCTGCCAAAATCGTGGCTTTGTGGCCGTTTATTTTTGCAAAGTTATTCACCAAAAACTGAACCGTACCTTGGGGCACTTGACCTGACCTCAGAGGTCACCGGTTGACCTAGGACCTTAAAATCGGGTACCAATCTCTGCGTCTCGTAACGGCGCACACGCTCGTTCATAAGCGGCGGAACGATTTGAGACAAGGGGGGGGGGGGCACCAGCTCAAGGAGCCAAACCTAGGGTACCCCCAAATCCTGTTTTCTCATCGGATTTAGGCCACTTATTTTTCGTCACAGCCTGACACGATGATTTTTTTTTTACTAACCAAAAATTGCAGTTCACCCCCGTATGTGTGGTTAACTTTAACCCTCGCCGGCACAGGGCGAGGGTTAGGACCGTAGGTGATGCACCCCCCTAAGGTTTTTCGCGAATAACTCGGGTAAAAAGCGGCCGATCGCGACGAAACTTTCAGTACCCTCGCATTGATCAATTTTACACCTACCCTGAAAATTTCATGACCCTGACCCCAATGACCTTTGACCTGTGACCTCATTTCTGTGACCATGTTTGGCCGAAATCGCGGTTCGGCGCATGTCTGCTCGCATTAGCCGCGCGTTTGCAAGCTTTTCGTGGTTTCAAACGTTCAAACATGTGATTTGATGTTGCTCCCATGCATTAGGGTGGGTGTCAAGGTTACCTGAAGGTCAGGTCAGGTCATTGACCTTTGGTGACCTCCGGTGACCTCGGTTCACTTTTTCGAGTTTTACATGTTTCTAGGCTAGTTTTTGGAGCTGAATTCGAATTTAGCAACCATTTGAACATTTACGAAGTAGTTTTGGTGCCTTCGTAACATGTTACGAAGCTGCCAGAGGCGGTTGACACGTATTACGAATACCCGTCACAACCCCTACCGGTTGACCTGACCTGACCTGACCCGACCTGGTCTAAATGCTGAAAGACAGCATCTATGATCAAAACTAACGCGATATTCGTGATCAGCACCCCGGAAAACCACAGAGCAGCCACACTTTACGACTTTCTAACAGGTCCCGATTTCCCGGTTTTCGGGTCATTGACCTGACCTGGAAGGTCACCCGATGACCTAGGACCTTAAAATTAAATAAAATTGATCCTCTCAAGTACCTATGTGTTTGTCTCTTCCTTATTCTCGTTTGATAAATTCCATTAATCCTACATGTATCAAATTACCAAGAAGCCATCGCAGTTCTTATCAGCGGCGAATCCCAGGGGGAGGTCACATGGGTCATGACTTTGGGCCTGGGGTCACCACGTGCCTGCCAGGAGCACCACAGGCCTGACAGCCGACAGGGGCACCACAGGCCTGCCAGGGGTACCACAGGCCTAGCAGGGGCACCACGGGCCTGTCAGTGGCACCACAGGCCTGTCAGGAGCACCATCGGCCTAGCAAAAGCACTACAGGTCTTCCAGGGGCACCACAGACCTGCCAGGGGCACCAGAGGCCTGCCAGGGGCACTATTGGCTTCGCAGGGGAACCACCGGCCTCGCAAGGGCACCATGGGCCTGTCAAAGGCACCACAAGCCTGTCGTTGGCACTTAAGGATTGTCAGGGGCACTACAAACCTGTCAAGGGCACCTGCGTTCTAACAGGGGCACCACAGGCTCGCCAGGGGCACCACAGACCTGCCAAAGCCCAGGGCTAGCAAGGACACCACATGCCTGTCAGGGGCACCACGGGCCTGTCAGGGCACATGGGCACCTAAGTCATGTGCAGGGCCCACCGTAGGCTTGTCAGGGGGCAGGGTAGGTAGGTACCACAGTCTTTCCAGGGGCACCAGCAGCCTAGCAGGGGCACCAGTCATCACACGACTAACCAAAAATAAAGAAAATAAAAACTGAAAATAGGGCACCACCAAAATTAAGTGGCCGAAATCCGTTGAGGTTTTAATTTTGGGCATAGGTAGGGGCACCACTTCGATTCATGACTCTCCCCTTAGAGTTTTCCCGAATCCGCACCTGGTACTAATGCATCAAATTTAAGGGGGGCACCTTGCTATTGGTGCCCCCTTGCAGAATTCAAGGGGGGGCACGGTGCCCCGGTGCCCCCCCCGTTCCGCCGCCTATGCGCTCGTTTTTTCCGCGACGCGCTATCCCCACTAGGGGCTTAACGGCGA